CATGACTGGCAGGGGGAAGTTGTACGTAATGGTACTGACATAATTAAAACTTATTCATATGTTCTGATGGACAGTAAAATTCCCGCTGAACTCACCATTTTAAACCTGAAGCAGGGGGCAGAGGCGCAGGCTTATACTCCCAGCACTCCCAAGGGAGTGGCTGGGAAGTTTGAGACCAGCCAGAGCTACATAATGAGACACTGTCTCAGAGCACAAAAGCAGCAAAGAACTAAATTTTAACATAAGGAAAAGACACTCTAGATTTTAAATCCAATTGGCTCAGTTATCTAGAAAAGTCCCTGTCATCCAGAGCTACATAAATGAAAAGTTTCGGGAGACTTGCCTGTTTCTTCAAGTCGAGTGGGAGTTCTCTCTCCCTACTTGGTGGCCCTGTGCCCTAAGCAACTCCCCAGAACAAATGGTTGCAAATCCTCTTGAGACAGACTCCCTGTTCTTCACCACAGCCTCCCCTAGTGCCCAGAACAGTGCTTGGCTCACAAAGCACACAGTCTATTGGAGATGAAGAAGGAATGAACAGAGAGGTGTGGGATAGAGGACCATGCAGGGTTCAGCAATCTGGACCCAAAAGGACCAGGCCAGTCCAGGACCTGTATGGACTTGAAGAAAGTGTACAGGGATATCCAAGGCAAAGCAGACAAGATTAAAAAAAAAAGCCTTGCATATTAAAAAATACCTCCTTTCCTACCGGCCTGAGTACCCACATAGCCCAGTCTGGAGTCCCTGTAACCACACCCCTAGCCCAGCAGTCTTGGCATGGCCTCAGAACGTATCTGCAGCTCCCAATACATAGTGATATTCAGAGAAGCCATAATCAAAAACCACATGAACCCCACCTGACTGGGATCCACTATGCCATTCCTCCCCATCAGCCATTCTGACTCCACACTCAGATCTGAGACGAGCTGGACCAAGTAGTGTCCAGGTCAACACCCAGGGAGGAAGTCATTCAAGAGAAGAGACTTGCAGCCTTGTGAGGGAGCAGCCCGTAAATCAGGTCCCACTCCCACCCAGTCGCTAACAAGCGGCTGCCTACCCGCCTACGTGGGGTCCCTGCCTCAGGCTCCCACAGTGGCCTGGACAAGCAGCTGGCCAAGGCCTCCCCAGTGCCTTGGCCTCTGCCCCCGCCCAGGGCCCCCAGAAAGATAGGGGTATTTTTCTTTCTTTTAGGAGAGTGAAAAAGATATAGACCTAAATGAAGAGAAACACCAACAAAGGAGGAGAGAGGCCTGCAGAGTCACGTGGGGGCAGAGACCAATTGGGCCTCCGGTGGCCCCCCCCCTACCCACACGGGGAGGAGAAGAGGACTATCGGACAGGGCCAGTTTGCTGTCCGCCCGCTACCCGCCTGCTGCTGGGTGAAGAAGTTCCTGACGGTCTGCTCACCACTGCCCTACTTGGGCCCTGGGAGCTTCTCCACCAGGACCCTGGTGCCCAGTGTCCATTCTCATCCGGCTGAGAGTTCTCCTTCCGCTCAGTAAGTGAGGGCCAGGGCCCAGGCCTCTAATGGCCAGCCTCCCTTCTCAGCACCTCACTGGGGCCTGGACTAGCCACTGCCTGTTCTACAGAAGGGCCAGTGCCCACCACTCTGGGCAGGGAAAGGGCCAGGGGTCTCCCCAGATCATTTTCTCATTACAGTACCCCTCATCTTCCCTAGGCTTTATTAGGAGGAACTAGGCCTATGGCGACAGAACTAGTGGGCTCTGAGGGTGGCCCCCGGTGTCTTAGAGGTGTGTTCCTGTGGGTGTGGTGTTCTGTGACTGTCCTGAGGGTCTCGGGCTGATCTTCCAGTCTTGGCATCTTGCTGCCTGAGTGTCTGGGTTGCCTCTATGAAGGTATCTGAGACTCCATAGATGTAAGTCTGTGTTTCTGCTGTCAGTCTGGGCCAGTGTCTACTTTGCTTCCTTGGGTAGATGGATGAAGGGCTGTAAGTCACTATAGGGGTATATGGGGCGAATTAAGGGTTCAGTGGAACCTGGAAGCCCTGGGGGAAAGGGCTGAGGTCGAGGCAGAAAGGGGGTGGCTTCTTGCCCATCCCCCATCCCGCCAGGATGTGCCCACACTATCCTAGAGGCCCCTAGTGGGCTCTACCCTAGCGTGCCTACTCAGGAGCCCAACCCCCATTCCTTCACTCCCCGCTGCCTACTGGCCTCTGTGGCTTGGTGTATTTTGTGGCTTTTGTTTTGTTTGTGTTTGTGTGTTTGCTATGCTAGAAATGAACACAGAGCCTTACACTGGGTGTGGTCCTGCCACTGAACCCCATTTCCTCCCCAGTTTCACTTTCTGAGGGTTCCTGTCTGAAGGGGATTTGTTCATAAACTCGTATAACCCCCATCCCCGGTTCTACAACACAGGTGTGAGGACAGGGCCTGACAGCCTCTGGCTCTCTCTCCTTCCAAGATTCATTCACACAGTTTTACCCAGGAACCCTGGTCTGTAGGACCGGATTTTTTCCCAAGGAGGGAAGTGACTTGCCTGAGCTAGGACAGGACAGCCAAGTCGGTCAGATTCCGTGCCTCCCTCCACCGGCTAAACGACTCTGGTTGCTGCAGTGGGTCTTCAGCTTTGTTCGAGCACCCTAGTTCAGCATCCACAGAAGCCTGAGCCACCGGGTGAGATCCACACAGAGTTTTGGACGGGTGGGCTCTGCCAAGGCATAACTTCTGTGCTTCCCCACTGCGGCTTTCTGGTGTTCATGTCCAGCCCCCAGCACTGTCTTCCACCCTTGGTGGCCAAGCGGGCTGGGCGGGATTGATCAGGCCTCTTCAAGCTCTCTCAGTTAACTTGAAAAGCCGTGGTCTGGTGGATCTTTCCAGCTCTACCATCTCACCCTCGACTGCCAGGAGCTCCTCCTCCCCCTACGCTTTAGTTAGAAGAGAGCTCACAGGGGCACAGGGGTGCAGCTCCCCGCCTCTGCTTTTAGGTCTCTGCGCCCTTGGAGCTCAGGCTGCTTACCAGACTTAGGGATGTTGCAGAGTGGGATGATCACGTTTCCCATTTCCAGACGAGCATCCTGAGGGAGACTCGCAGAAATGGGGTTCACCCCAACTCTTATTACCCACTCCACCGCATCACTCGTCCATCCGCAGCCACCCTCTGGGAGCACCTGACTTGGGATTAAGAAACAGAGCCGGAGTGGGTGCTTGCAGCCTGAGTAAGCAAATGTCAACTCGAAAGCTTACTTTCTACCTTGGCCGCGTGACTTACCCACGTCCCCTTAGCCACTTCCACACAAAACACACTTCCACCGCAAAACGACCAGCGTTCCCGTCTTGGCCCTGGTCACCCCTAAACTGGACTAGCAAACGGGAGTTCGCCTTCTCTCTGCGTAGGCTGTGGCCCGAAGCTTCCCGGCGCACGACGCCTGACCGGATTCCGGGGTGTTCGGGGTCCCTAATTCCCTTAGAATTCGCGGGTTTCGGAGGACCGAACTGGGGCTGGAGGGCCGGGGGGGGGGGCGGTGAGAGTGAAGGCCAAGCGGATCTGTGGGGAGGACGCGGCCCGCGCCTCCGCCCCCGGATACCGCACGCGCGCATATAGAGCGGCCACCCCGGCCCCGCGCGGCGGGTTCGCGCAGCGCGCAGTGCGGCGGAGGGGCCCGGGTCCCAGGTGCGCCTCGAGCGGCCCCGCGGGCGGCAGGCGCGGGGAGGCGGGGGCAGAGCGGGCCGGTCTCCCCGCCCCCGGCCCAAGTGGCCGTCATCGCGGGCGGGTGGCGTTGCTCCCGGGTGCGGCTTCATTGCAGGCGGCGGCGCGGCCGAAAGGTGCGGGGCGCTGCTCGCGGGAGCGGCCTGGGTGGGCGACGCCGTCGTACGGCTGGTTCTCGCCGTACTAGGCTACGGCTCTCGGAATCTGGACTCTCCGCCTGAGGTTTCCCGTAGCCTGCACCCCAATCTCTGTTGGACGCCCGCGCCATCTCCGCCCAAGGTCTCAACCCAGCGCCCGCGACCCCTTTGCGCCCTCCACTCCTGCTGCCGGCCCGACGTCCCGGGCTCGCTGGTGGGTGCCGTCGCTGCGCGGCTTTGTCTGCCGACCCAGTGGCCCGGCTACAGGGTTTTCTGCCTCTCAGGGTCAGCCCCTATCCCTCCACCGGGCCACACCTTGGAGGTCGCTGCCCGCACCGCCGCCCGCCTAGAGTCTGTCTACAGGTCCCCGACCCTCTCACTGGGCACCAACGTCTCTCCAGGTTTTCCGTCCTTGTCTCTGTCACTCTTGCTGTCTCCGTCTCCTTAGGGATGTCTCTCGTTGCTCGGTGTCTCTCCCTGTGTCTCTGTCTCTCTGTCTCACGGGTTTTCTCGTTGAGTCTGTCACTCCGAACCTCTGATCCCGTCTCTTTCGTTACCCAGCATTGGTCTTTCATCTATTTACTATCTACCATCTTTATACCATCTGTCGGTCACCGATCATAATCTGATCGTCTATCTGACCTATCATTTATCTATCATCCATCTACATAATCTACCATCTATCAGTATCTCTCTACCAACCAGTATCTATCAACCAACCATCTAGGAATCTCTCCCAATGTCTCTAGCTCGGCATTCCTCTCTCCTTCGCCCAGGATCCTTTCTCCGTTGAGCATTATCGGCTGGGGTCTCTCTAGACTTGTTTCTGCCTCAGGTCTCTGTCAAGCCCCCAGACCACTCCAGTTGCACGCCCCACTTCACCCTGATTGCTTGTCGTCCGTCTTCCCCGCGCCCGAACCTATCTGATTTTCTCAGAATCGGGGTTTTGTTTTCAGACAAACGAATCAGAATGGAAACGCATCGAATCAGAGAGTCTCGGATCGGGTGCGGCAGAGGCGGCGTGGAAGCAGCTCTGGAGCGCGGCGGGTGGCTGAGCTGCGGCGCGGGGACGCGGCTCGAAAACCCCCGCACCACACCGGTGCTGTGGGCCCTCCCAGGCGCACAGACCAGGGCAGCCCCAGGCCAGTTGCCGTCGGCCCGTGCTGATCCGCTCCTCTTTCCACAGGCGGACGCCGCGGGCATGGACTATTCGTATGACGAGGACCTGGACGAGCTGTGTCCGGTGTGTGGTGACAAGGTGTCGGGCTATCACTACGGGCTGCTCACGTGTGAGAGCTGTAAGGTGAGCGCGAGCAGGGAAGGGTTAAGCTGCAGGTACCAGGGGTGCGGACAGTGACCGAGGGTCGGGACCTGGCGTTCACTCCCTTCCTCTCGCACAGGGCTTCTTCAAACGCACAGTCCAGAACAACAAGCATTACACGTGCACCGAGAGTCAGAGCTGCAAAATCGACAAGACGCAGCGTAAGCGCTGTCCCTTCTGCCGCTTCCAGAAGTGTCTGACGGTGGGCATGCGCCTGGAAGGTGCGCGTTCTGCACACCCGGGACCCCTGACAGCTGACCGCCCCAGGGAGTTGCGGGCGGGCCTGGGAGAGGGGCTGAAGGGAAAGCGGCATAGTTTCTGGATCCAGGTGACTGGCCCCTTGGTGTGACGTTAGGGCCCCAGCTCTGCAGGGAAGACAAGCGCCAGAAGAGCCCTCCCAGGCAGAACCTGCCTGGGCTCAGTTCCGAAATATCAAAAGACTTCCCGCACGGTGGGCCAGCCTGCAATCCCAGGAATGAGGAGTCTGAGGCACGGTGATTACCAGTAAAGGATAGCATACTGAGACCCAGTACTCCCTCCTCCTCCCTCACTAGGGAGTGAGCCTAGGACAGAGCAGAGCCCCAACAGACCCACTTTGTGAGGGGCCACCCTATATATCTCCACACTAGCCAGAGTCGAAGGTCTCAATAACTTGAATATTCAAATTCCAGCTTATTCAATTGTAGGCTGGGGACCCTGAGCAAATACCTTAACCTCTCTGAGTTGCAGATGCCCTTATCTGAATAATGAGTTAAAAAGTAATGCCTGCCCTGTGTCGGTGGGAAGACTGGGGGTTTACAAAAAGCTGGAGTTGCCTGCTTGAGGGCAAATACTCGGCAGGATAGCTGTGATTGTCGTTATTATCACACTCTCTGCTGCTATTTGTCCATCACTGGCCACCCTGTGCATCTGTCTATCTGTCCAGGCATTTAAGTTTCGCAGGAATTGAGATTCCTTCCCATGCATTCTTAGTGCAGCTCTGAGAAGGTTGGGGAGGGGAGGGGGACAGTGGCCTATCTTTGCCTCTTCCCTACCCCTGTTCCCTATCTCTGCTCCAGAGAGGACAGCAATGGTCCATCAGGAGAGACTCAGGCTCAGAGAGTGGACAGTCCTAGCTTCTACCCCGCTGGCCCCAGTCGGGCTGAGCGCCCAGAGAGCAGCTGTTGGCTAAAGTTTTTGCAGGAAAGGCTGCAAAGGCTGGGAGAGCTGTGGGACCTAGAGAAGGACTCAGATTGAAGGAGGGACCCTGTCCTGTGCCTGGAACCACCATGCCTACCTCCAGGTCCTGAGTGGGCAGAGAGCTAGCGATCGTGGGTGGCAGAAGCCTCTGGGGCAGCCTGAGGGAGCAAAGCAGAATGGCCGCCTCCCTGCAAGAAGGTCTGTGTCGGGCAGGCTCCCAAGCCCTGAGTTCTGTGAAATACCACCCCTCTCTCCAACTTTCTCCCTTCCCTCAGAGCTTGGGTGGGGTCCTGTCTGAGCAGGGGTTGGAGCCACACTCAAGCTGCAGAGATGCACCTGTTAAGTCTGGCCGGTGACACATTCTTGGCCAGAATAAAAACATCTGGTCAGCAAAATAGGTCCCTTTCTCCAACACTGAACTAGGCTCCAGAGTAGAAGGCAGCGGGGGAAGCCCCATCATCTTGTACCAGGAGCTAGACAGAACTAAGGAGGCTCCAGCAAGTAGCTGGGCCCCCGTGGTGAGCAAAGCAGACTAGGGCCCTTTTTCCTCACATTTCCCTGCCAGGCCCTAGGCTGGGCCCATGAGCCCAGAGCTGAGCCCCAGGTGCTCTCAGCCTGAGGTATACTATGGGACAGGACAGGAGGTTCTGCTTGCAGGAACTCTTGGACTTCCTGGAGGTGGCAACCTGGCCACTGGGTTATGCTATAAGACAGGAGATGTGGGAGTCAGAAAAGGGTTCCAGGCAGAGGGAACCAATAATTGAGGGCAAGGTGGGTGAGAAAGTATGTTAAGTGGAGGAACAAAGGAGTAGGGAGGAGGGGAGAAAGATAAGGAGGTGGAGAAAGGCCTGGAATGCCAAGCTAAGGTTATGGCTCTCACCTGTGGGCAGAGGAGGTCATTGAGTGGAGGTGAAGAACGGCGTGTGTGTGTGTGTGTGTGTGTGTGTGTGTGTGTGTGTGACAGAGACACAGATATATCCTTTCGGGAAAAATCTGTGAGAAGTAGTTGGGAAGGTGGAAGCCGACTGACTGCTCTTGCTCACAGCTGTGCGTGCTGATCGAATGAGGGGCGGTCGGAACAAGTTTGGGCCCATGTACAAGAGGGACCGAGCCTTGAAGCAGCAGAAGAAAGCACAGATTCGGGCCAATGGCTTCAAGCTGGAGACTGGACCCCCGATGGGGGTGCCCCCGCCACCCCCTCCCCCTCCGGACTACATGCTACCCCCTGGCCTGCATGCCCCTGAGCCCAAGGCCTTGGTCTCTGGCCCACCCACTGGGCCACTGGGTGATTTTGGAGCCCCAGCTCTGCCCATGGCTGTGCCTGGTACCCATGGGCCTCTGGCTGGCTACCTCTATCCTGCCTTCTCTAACCGCACCATCAAATCTGAGTATCCAGAGCCCTATGCCAGCCCCCCTCAGCAGCCAGGGCCACCCTACAGCTATCTAGAGCCCTTCTCAGGAGGGCCCAACGTACCCGAGCTCATACTGCAGCTGCTGCAGCTAGAGCCAGAGGAGGACCAGGTGCGTGCCCGCATAGTGGGCTGCCTGCAGGAGCCAAGCAAAAGTCACTCTGACCAGCCAGCGCACTTCAGCCTCCTCTGCAGGATGGCTGACCAGACCTTCATCTCCATTGTCGACTGGGCACGAAGGTGTATGGTGTTCAAGGAGCTGGAGGTAGGTACTCCCCACAGACCCCTGGCCCTGGCTCCAGCCACTCCCCTCGGCTGCCCTTTGGATGGACAGTTCTACCCAATGGCTTCAGGCAGTGTCTGGAGAGGTACTATCACAGGAGCCATTGCAGCTTCCTGGAGCCCACTGCCCCCTGCCCATCCCTCTCCCTGTCTCTCCTACGTCCCCTCTGTGACTTGAGGTCTTTTGGTACCTCCATGTTCCTCAAGCCTTTGCTTCTCTCCCAGTTCGGGTTCCTACAGGAGACCCTGAGCTCCCTCAAAACACTTGTCTTGTCCCCCGAATTGCCAGCCTGTGCCAGAAGTAGGTCCAGCCATCCTATCCTCTCGTTCATTCAGAAAGCACACCGATCCCTGCCACCCTCAACTGTCATAAATGAGGCTCTAAGTCTATGACTTTGGGTGTTTGTGGGCTGAAGTGAAGGAACCGCTGTCCCTGTGATAGAGAGGGTGTGTGCACACGCATGTGTGTGCATGCACAAACGTGCAAATGCAGAACAACTAGATAGAAAATCCCTTCCTTGCACTGCCTTTTTAGCTAGAGTTAGTGCACATGACACTAACGAAAGTGGAGACATAGCAGGAGGAGCAGAGGCTAGACATAGGAGGAACTTCCCAGGCATTCATCTGGTCTTGTGAAGACCCTAAGGCCTGAGAGCTGACTTCTTATGTTCACCACCTCCAAGACTACAGAATCTTGACCAAGCCTCATTGCTGCTGGTGTGGGTACAACTCAAGCCTGACCCTCTTAGGTCAAGCCCCCCTGGTTGTTCTAAGGCTAGCTATAAACAGCAGGGCCACTGCCCTCCCTGTTGGAGCCACTGCAGCCTTGAGCGACCGTCAGTGCTGACGCCACTCTGCCTGGGCTTCCTCTGGGCATGTGGCCAGATGGACGGGGCACTGCCTGGCTGGCATGGAGGGGAATAAGAGGAAGCATGAGCATTCTGAGCCCTATAGGGGCACCCCAAGGTTTATTTAACCCAGAGGACCCTGGGAGTTAGGAACTGATGACCATGGCTCTCATTTTCACTGTGGAGGGCCTGCCATGGCCAAGGACATGCCATGTCCCTGTCTTGGGTGACTTCTCTTGCTGGCTCTTCTAGGCCAACTGATGTAGGAGATGAACATAGGTCAGATAATGAGTCCTCCCACCTGTCCTGTATTCATGGCTGAGTGCTCTGGAAGATGACACCCCCACCCCTAGACACTGCAGACATCCCCTGCACAGAGAGTAAGAGGAGCTGAGCATTCCCAGCTTTCCAGGACTCTGGATCCAGAGGCGGGGCACTTCCTCTGGCTGCCTTCCTGGTGTAGGGGGTCCAGGTCACGCAGGATGGGAAGGGCTTTTGTCCCAGTCTTGCTGAGTGTTTTTTCCTGCTTTTGGCTTCTCTGTGGCCCAAATCTTCCTGCTTCCCCTTCCCAGAACCTGTGAAGGAGCCCAGGAATCCTAGCCACCATCAGCACTGTTTGTGAGGGGCCTTGCAGAGAAAGAAGCCCAAACCCAGCCCTTGCAGCCCCTCTTGAGCCATGGTTCCCCAGGCTGCCGGGTCTGTGACGCAGAACCCAGGCATGCAGGTCAGAAAAGCCAAGGACGCCCAGTGAGGTGCTTCTCGCCGTGACACATTAGCCGCTTTCTGTCTCCATGCAGGATGCATCTTAGGTGATGGGAGAGGAACTCTGTGGCACTGAGCCTGGGTGACTCCTGAGACAGGAGAATGACCTGGACCAGGAAGCTAGAGGGGATGTATGGACTGTGGGTCCTGGAGATCAGATCAGTGGGAAAGTGCTGCTGCATCTGAGGGCTTCAAAGATCTCCAGAGATGCTCAGAGACAGGTCAGGGCACCCAGCCTGGAGGACTTAGCATGTAAGTCTGCTCTTCTGGTCCGTTTTCTTATTTGTAAGGTGGGAAGGGCTTAATATTTCTCTAGAGGCTTGTAAAGGCCAGGTAAGCTAGAACAGGTAAAGAATTTGACATGTGGCTCAGTACACAGGAAGTCCCATCAGTGGAGTTGGCCCCTCCCTTTCTGGTCTGCCCCTTTGTAGCATGAAGGGTGCACACTTTGGCCCTGGTAGTATACCAACGTCTTACCTGAAGCATGGTAGACTTGCCTTCACCAGGTACTCTGCATGGTCACCGTGAAGGGCAGACTGGAGGAGGGGATAGCAGCTCATCTTGACATCTGTTCCCCTCAGTGTTCCACGCTGCTTCCCCCAGGGAGCCCCATTGGCAGCAGATAATCGCTCAGATAGATGGTTTATTGAGACACAGTAAGACTGTCAGTACTGGGATGATAAACAATTGCTCAGCCAGCAGTGTGCCATGGCCAGCCATGGCATGTCAGACCCTGAAGAATTACTGAGCTTGTTGGCCTTGCCTGCCAGACTGATCAGACCCCAGGGGCTCCAGAGAGGCTGCTGAGGGAGAGGTCAATGCAGTGCCATCAATACCCTTCCTGGAGGTAGACTGCAGTGTCAAGGCTCAAAGATTTGTGGTGGGCCAGAGGAGGGCCCAACAGATGGGCCAGGCTGGCCAGGGACCCCAAACCAGAACTGCAGATGACCTTGTTCCCAAGGTGGTAAGAGGAAGTGGAAACCGGATCTTTGGCTTGAGAGACATGCTTGCTTACACATTGATTTCTTGTGGAGGGGGCTGACAGTTGCCGTGAGTGTTGAAATTGGATGTCTATGTGTACATATCCCCACCCACAGGAAGAGGTGGGCATAGGAATGGCAGGAAAATTTGCTTGGCCAAGGAAAAGATGGAGCCTAGCATGCTCTTCAGAACCTTTGGGGCTGATACAGATCTTCTATGCAATGAAGATATGCAGAAGAGGGAGGTGCCCTCTCCAGTCACAGATCAGGAAAAGAGGGCTGAGGGAAGTGCACAGCCAGGTAAAGGGCTAAAATTCAGATTTGGAGAACTCAGCATAGTGCCCACATCGCAGCCCAGGGCCGACCAGCCTCCACATGCTGGGCCACCCAGCCCCAGGCCTGAGGTCTGGGCAGAGTGTGCTCCAGAGCTGGGTACCCAGGTCACTGTGACCCCTCTGCCTTCTGCCAAGGCTCAGTCTGCTTATCTCCTAACGCTCCTCTTTATCATTTCTCCTGCCCCACTTCTTCCTTCCATCTGGGCACAAGGGTATCTGCTCCTTTGGTGAGATGGGGGTGGAGCATCCCAGCCCTGCCTGGACTCCTTCTGGGTCACCCACATGGGCCTCTGTTTACTTTGCTGCCACCCAGGCACCTAGCAGTTCTCAAGGTCTTCTAGGATCTTCCAAGATCTCCCTACCCGGTATCACCTACATGGTCCTGTCTGATGATGGGGAGCAGCCCGCAGAGGCTGGCTCTCTGTTCTGACAGTGATGGGCTCAACACAAACAATGGCCTGGGTTCTTGACATAAAGGAGATGGTAAGGATTGACAGAAACAGGTCCCTCATACAGGTCTCCTGCACTGCGTGTTGGGGCCGTAGTGAGCTGACAGGGTCCTGAGGAGTCTGCATGACTGTCGGGCTACTCTTTCTTTTTGACCCTCTCTTAGGGTTACTATTGCTGTGATAAAACACCATAACCAAAAACAATTTAGAGATGAAAGGGTTTATTTGCTAATGTATCCTGATTCACAGTTCACTACAGGAAGCCAAGGTAGGAACTCAAACTGGATAGGAACCTGGAGTCAGGAGCTGATGTGGAGAACATGGAGGGGAGCTGCTTACTGGCTTGCTCATCACGGCTTGCTTAGTCTATTTTCTTATAGAACCCAGGACCACCAGCTTACAATGGTGGTGGGTTCCCCCCACATCAATCACTAATTAAGAAAATTCTCTATGAGCCTGCCTATGGAGGCGTTTCCCCACTTGAGACTCCCTCCTCTGGATGACTGTGTCAAGTTGACATAGAACTAGCCAGCACATCCGCCTTCTCCTTTCTCCCCATCTGCCCGTGGAGGCCCACAGAAGAGGGAAAGGCTGCTATCCCAGAGGACAGGGCTAGTTCTTATGTCTAGTCATCTCTCCTTGGGTCTGGTTTGAGGTAGAGATGAATGTTTTATGGGTCATGTGCACTTTCATCCACCTCTCACTGATGCCTGAGATGTGGAGGACACCAGTCCTGCCCTTGCACACGCCCAAGTACCAGGGAAGACAGGCATGGATTGCTGCCAACCCAGTTCCAAAAGGTGGTGAGAAAGAGGGGCTGAGAAGGGCTTCAGGGAACCAGTCTACAGGAGACTCTGAAGCCCTGGGTGGACAGGGCGGCAAGGGAAAGTTGTTTCTATCCTGGCGGTAGAGAGAGTGGACCTGGAGCTACACTCAACTGGGCAACTTTAGGTAACTTGGCTAAGTTCAGTGCTCAGTTCCTTCTCTCTGTAAAACGAGTGATAACTGCAAACAGGGCTGAAAGTCACCCAGCAAGACTGATGTAGTCAGGGTTAGTAGCCATTGTCATGCGTGGTCCGGGAGGGCTGGGAAACCCACATGGCAGAAGAAGAGAACCAACATCCACAAGGTGTCCTCTGATTTTGGCATGTACTGTGGCGCACACACACACACACACACACACACAATGTAAAAGGATTATTTTAAAAAGAAAGGCTTTGGGCTGGGTGGGGAAAAGGAGGTGAGTGGAAGTGAGGATGGGGAGGTAAGGGTAGGGAGGTATGCAGCTGGGTATGCAGGGGGGGGGTATAAGAGGATGATGACATGTCCCTGGCTGCCACTTGCCACGGTTCTAAGCAGGACTTGCTCCTGTCAGGGACATCTGCCCTTTCCATGGGAGGATACAGCTACCCCCAGAGTTGGGGGACACTCAACAGGAGCTGTCCTCTTCCGAGCCCAAGGCCCAATACACCCTGATGGTTAGGATCCACCTTGGTCATTGTTTGGTTATTGCTGTGGACTGCGGAGGTGGCCATGAGCCAGGCAGCCCTTCTTCCTTCCCCAGCAGCCTAGACACCTCTGCAGCTCCCCCAAGGTCCTTTTTAGGGTAGCTGTGGCCACAGGTCCTCCCCAGGCCAACAGCACAAGGGACGAGGGCTGGTCTTCGCAGTATTAGACCTTGATCTCTGAGGTTTACTGGGTGTGCGATATGGGACCCGTCATCTCCACACACTTGAATCACTGAGCCATTTTGAAAATGAAGGCCCAGAAAGACCCTGGGACATGTGTAAGTCACAGAGCTTGTGAGAGACAGAGCTGGGACCTGAAAGATGCCCTCCTTGGACCCCATCTAAGACTCCGAAGGGCCTGAAGGCCAGGCCCCAGCTGGACTTGTGCGTGGCTCTCCCCTGCAGGTGGCTGACCAGATGACACTGCTGCAGAACTGCTGGAGTGAGCTGCTGGTGTTGGACCACATCTACCGCCAGGTCCAGTACGGCAAGGAGGACAGCATCCTGCTGGTCACTGGGCAGGAGGTGACTGAACTGTTCCAATCCCCAGCACTGCATGGTCCCAGACCTCTCCAAGCTGACTATGCACACCCTGAATTCCAAATTTGGGGACATACACTGGCCAGACCTCTCTGTGTTCTGGAACCTTTGAGGATCCAGAGTGTGGGATGGCCAGGGGAGGCCCTTCTAGGACATCACAGGGGGATTGGATCTCCCCAGATAAGGCAGAGTCTGTTAGCTGGTGCCGGAGGGATGGGTGGCAGTCTGCACTCCCACATGTAGAAGCAATAGGATCGAGGACTCTGAGAAGGATTCAGAGTACTGCCAGGGACTTGTGGGGTGGGGAGTGTGAGATGGGGTTGCTGGTGATCAGGCAAGACTTGTGGGCTCTCCATTCTCATAAACGATGAACACGCGAGTAAACAAATCACGAATGAATGAAAGAGAGGGTGAAAGGCGAGAGATCAGTCAGAATTTGGCACCTTTTAAATAGAAAATATACCATGGTGGGGGTGGGAGGGCATGGAGAAGGCTTGAGAGTTCCTGAACCCCCACAGGAGGGACATTGGGGTTGCTAGTGGGTGTAGGTGAAGGAGCCCAAAGGGCTGGGTCTGGAGACACCTTTAAAGAAGACAGCCCGCAAATGGGAGAGGAGACACAGGGAGTGAGTGGGAGAAAGAAGACTGGAGACAGAAGAGGGGACACAGGCTGAATAGTGGGCGCAGTGGATGTTGTAATGAAATGCAGACTGGCCCTGCTTCCCTACCTCTGCCCCTCAGGACCTGTATCCTCAACCTGGTTTCTCACCACCCAGGTCTCAGGCCTTTGGAGCAGGAATGGGAACACTAGTCTCCAGTGGTGACTCTGGGTGACAGAAACGCAAATACAAGATCTGGGATATGAGTGAGGACGTCCTGAGTGTACCCACACACCTATGTCTGATTGTGTGACTCTGCACATACAGAGATGTGTGGGTGTCCATGACTTCCTGCCACTGTGTAAGCTTGAGTACATGTGCAGGTGTGTCTGCATTGTTGTGAATGGTGAAGGGCAGGAGTGGGCGTGGGTGTGCAGACATGAGTGCCATAGCCTCAGCGTGTGTGTGTGTGTGTGTGTGTGTGTGTGTGGAGACAGAGGGAGAGAGAAAGAGAGAGCGCTGTGGTAATAGACTGGGACCTATCTGGTGATCACTCAGGTAGAACCACCCCGCTGCCCCCTCCCCTGCCCCAGTTAGCTGTACAAGAACAGTTCTCACAACTGGGCTGGCGGCAGCCCTTTGTGAATGAAGTATCCTTCAGCTCTCCAGTGTTCCTGCTGCCTGGTGCCTGCTCCACTGCCACCAAAGGTGCTCAGCTTAGGCCAACAGGTGAAACAAAGCTGGCAAAATGGCCTTCAGCGTGGTAGGCCTGAGGCTCAGTGCTTAAGCCAAGTCCCTGATCAGAGCCTTCTGCCCCATGCCCTTTCACCTCTGCCCCCTCCCTGACCCACCCTCTGCCGGTGCAGGTGGAGCTGAGCACAGTGGCGGTGCAGGCTGGCTCCCTGCTTCACAGCCTGGTGCTGCGGGCACAGGAACTAGTGCTACAGCTGCATGCGCTGCAGTTGGACCGCCAGGAGTTCGTCTGTCTCAAGTTCCTCATCCTCTTCAGCCTCGGTGAGTGGCTTCTGCAGTAGAGGGTGCCAAAGACACTGGGGGCCACTGTGTTCAGAAAGCCCAAGGGATGAGGCTCCTCCTTCAGTAAGTGGCATAAGGTGCACAGTTAGGACCTGGCTGCTTCCTGTGGGGCAGGGAGTCTAGCGTTTGTCTTTTGTGGGGTGAGGACCCTTCTGCTCCGTGCACCCAGGACACTTTAATGTCTGCTGCCTTCAGGACTCTCTTGCCTGGCTCCCATCCTGGGGTCCCTACTTTCCCTAACTCTGAGAACTACTAGGTCCCCTTCACCTGTTCTACAGACACCTGCTGAACATCTGCCTGGTGCCAGGGTCTGGGGGCAGCACAGCAAATGGGAAAGACCCCAACTGCTGCTCCCAGAGCCAGCTCCTGTTAGGGAAACAGCAAGTGGCTTATGAAGGGTGGAATGCATAGCAGCGAGATCTAGCAACTAGGAGGGTGTGCCTCAGAGAACCTGAGTCCTGCTGCGGAAAGCCTGGAAGAGCCTTAGCGGATGACTTGGGAAGAGGGTTCTTCAGCAGGGACCAGCTATGGGATCGAAACTGGACAAAATGGAGACATGTCTTTGCGGCAGTTTGGCAATGATGCTCCTGGGGAATAGGAAGTGTTTGGAAGTAGAGGGAAGAAGGGAACTTGTAAGGAAGCCCAGTGTTCAGGTAGAGTTGGGCTACTTGCCATGACCACGTGGCTAGGGGCCCTGATCAGGCTTGGGAGGGTGCTGGGCAGAGAGGAGCTATCAGTACAGTCAGAGCTTCAGCCATGCATACTGCTCCCTTAAGAGGGACCCGCCTTCCCCTTTCCCGAATAACCAAAGGTACTAGGTCCAGAGAGACTTTGGCTTCCTTTGAGGTGACTTCAGGCTCCTCCTCCCAGCCCTGTAAGCTTCTCAGCCTTCCCCCACAAGCTAACTTTACCTCTTATAACCTGGAGAGATCAGGGCTACGGTGGGGAGGGCAGGAAAAGCCTGTGGAAGGGCTTGGCTGCCTGGATTCTAATTCTGGTCTCTTTGGCTTTGTGTATTGAGCAAGTCGTTCGCCCTCTGAGCCTCTGTTTCTCCCTGTGTGAAATGACAGCTGTAAGTGTTCTTGACGTGCTGCAAGGATAATGAGACAGTTCTACCACAGTCTTGGCCCTTGGAAGTGTGCGCTGATGGTCTTATTAATCATCCTTATTAAGGCCATAAACAAATGAGCCAGAGAGCAAAGTGAACGAACAAACCAGGGCTCGGTTTTTATCACATGGTTTTCTTGTCTCTGGGCACGGGGACTCGGGTCTGGCCATGGTGGTTGAGTTTAGTGGGTCTGAAGTTGGGTGAGGATGGGGGTGTCGAGGCAGTGATCCTGGAACCTTAACTTCCTGGAGCCTAGAACGAGTGTGACAGAGGCAAACTGGATCACAGGATCCATGAGATTCCATGTTGGGAGAGGTGAGCAGAGTTAGGGCAACTCTGCTTGGTCTGGATGCAGGATGAGGTGGATCCATCTGAGCTGAACCTTGCAGTGTGAATAGGAGAGTCCTGGTGAAACAAACAGAAGGATCAGTCTATTGGAAGTTATGGGAGAGGAAAGGGTAGTGATGAGGTCAGGATGCATAGGGGCTGAACTGTGCGTGGCCATGGTTATTGCGTGGCCTTCCGATGGGATGGCTCCCATTCTGGAAATAACACAACCACCTCACATCTGCATTCACCATACAAGGTGGGGTCCTTCTAGCAGAAGCCTGGGGTCAGATGGTAGGCGAACAGCCCAGAGCCTTGCAGCAGGCAACACCTGTACCTGGGTGATCTTAAACACAGGACTCCCCATCAGAGCTGAGCTTTCAAGGAGACTGGGACTCAAGGCAGGGCTGAACTTCCAGTCAGCCTGCTTGTGGAACCCTCAGCATCACTGCACTGGGTTTGGCAGCCTGAACCTAAGGCAGTGACTGTTACCCACCCACTCACCCACCCCGTCCCCCTCTACACGCCTCCTTCTCGCCTGTCTCTGCAGAAGGGTGCCATTTGGCATCTAAATAGCATCTCGGGTAGCTCAGAGGCAGGTAAGGAGGCTTAATTAAAATTAGTGCCTCTCTCCTGGCAATCGCAGTGTTTATGAAGATGGGCCTGGCCGGCATTGTTCCACCGAGGACTTAATCGAAGCTTAATGGATTGACCTAACATTCGATTTCCTGATTCCCATTGAGGCGCACGGCAGCATTCCCTTAAGCGTTTGCAATTTACCCACTGCTCCAAGCCAACAAAAGACGGACTGAATAGCAGTGCCACTCGAGGGGCCATTGTGTGCGGGGGCGCCTGCCTGAGTCACTGCTATTGGGACAACATTCTTTATGCCTTGCTGGAATGAAAGGATTATTCAAATATTCAATTAAACCGTGAAAAGGGGGCTTTTCTGAGATCCTGGGGGGCTCCAGCTCATGGAGCTAGCGGCTACTCCCAGGGTGGGGTGCCATCTCCCGCTCACCTCCGCCTCCAGGGATGTAGTCTGCAGGCTCAAGCCTCAGGCTGGAGCTCAGTGAGGATCTTGGTCCTGACCTGCCCCATCTTATAGAAGAGAGAAACTAAGGTTCGGAAGGGGCCTCTGGCTGCAGAGCTGAGTGTCCAGGTTGTGGGACTGCTGTTCCTGGGTCTGAGGGGCAAAGGTACCACACTCAGTGGTATGTGACTATATTCCATCTCTCCGTGACAAGCTGGGAACTGGGGGTATGGGAAGTGGTTTCTTGGTGATGGAGAAGTTAGGTCTAAGGGTATGGAGGTCTTCATTTGTGGGACCTGAGAGACCAGAGGCCCTCTGGTAGAGAGGCTGTCGCTGAAGCCGCCCTTGTTCTGCACCCTCCCCCTTCTACTCCACTGCCATCCTGAGTCCCTGATGCTGTTGCTGAGAACAGTAAATCCTGGTAAAGCCAAGAAGGCCTCGGCCCTGGTGTCCCCGTCCCTTCCTTCCCCACCATCTGAGCAGCACCCTGGCCCCTCCTCCTCCTCCTCCTCAGCTCTTCCCTCTGGTTATCTTTGAGATAGATCCCATCTTTCTCCTATTATGACTACCAATCAGACTAGCCCAAGGACAGTATGGGGGTGATGACGGGTGGTGGTGGGAAAGGGATCAAGGCAAAGGCATATGGGATCAGTAGGCATCTCTTGCTTCGATCAGCTTGGTGGAATGGCTTCCTAGGATTGCCTGTAAGTGTACTGAAGCTGGCCAGGCTACTAGGGAGCAGATTGCTATGTAGAGCTGGGTAGGTCTCCCTGTACAGGGGCATGGAGGCAGGGAAGGGACAGGGCTCAGACCTAGGTGCAGCTCTCCAAAGGGAGCTTTTTCCTAAAGTACATGAAGATGGTTCATGACCTGGTGGCTATTCCAGGGAGGCGAGGAAGAAAATGACCCTGGATCACGTATTGGAGGGTAATGGGAGCCGGGGTGGAGGTCAGCTGCCAAATACTGCCATACGACTCAGGCCCAGCTCCAGTTTCCCTAAATCCATCTTTGGACAACACAGGCCCCAGCGGCTGTGCTGGGGGCGGCTGAGGATCACGGTTGCCAGGCACCCCAGCTTTCTTGGCGCAGTGGGTGTTAAGAGGGATTAGAGGGCCGAGAGCCATGTTGGCCCAACTCCCCCACAGTAGAAAGACTGGGGTGCCCCAAGGGAGCACAGCAGATGAGTGACCCATCTTCCAACATCCGGGAAGCTACGGCTCAGGGAGACCAGGGTAGGCTCTGAGGGTTGGGGGCTGATGTTAAACCTCTAGGCAGGGCGTGAGCTAACAGAGTCTGGGAGCTGTGATGGGCTTGAGTGGCAAGGAAAAAGGCCCAAACACCCCATTTCCAGCCCCCTTCTCTGCAGAATAGGCAGGCACTTTTTCACAGGGCGGCTACTCCTAACTGACTCCAAAGACCTCTTTTGTGTCTAGCCCAGGACTAAGGCCCAAGGATGCACTGATCACAGCAGCCCCAGTCACTTTTGGTCCACTGAGCCACCTGCTCCTCTCCCTCTCACAGTGGCTGACCCTCCATGTCTCACCACGGCTTCAGGGGCTCCATTGTTCTCACAGAGCATGTCTGTGTGGGAAGGGCTGATGAGCTAGGCAGCCCGTCCGTGCCCCACTCTTCCAGTTTTTGATAGCACAGAGAGAGAACCAGGGCTGCGTGTGCCAGGTCATGGTCTGTTCTAAGCCACGCGTCAGCGTCATTTTAAACTTACGTAGATGGCTTTGCCTTACGAACTTCTGTTGTCTTTCACCTCCCACTCTGCTCTGCCATGTGCTCCACATCTGCCCATTCTACAGCTCCACAGATGTAACTGGCACACAGCCACCCATGCCCCTCTTTCTCACCGTGAACAGTGCTGCAAAGAAGCTGACCCCAGAGCCCTGCAGGGCTTTGCAGAGTACTCATGGGCCTGACCCCCAAGACAGGTCCTTTTGACAGTGAGGTTGATAGTGATGCTGGGGACCAGCGGTGATGGCCACAGGAAGGCTTTGATGCGCTTTCTCACATCTTTGGAGGGACCAGTGCATCCCATTTTATAGAGGAGAAAATGGAGAGCAATGCACCCGCTGCTGCTGCTGATCTTGGTGGCTGTCAGCTATCCCTGGTGGTAGCAGCAGTGACAATGGGGCTAGTGCTACAGTTCAGTGGTTGGTGATGGTGGTGGCCATACTGGTGATAAAATGGATTTTCTAGGGTGGTGGCACATGCCTTTAATCCACTTGGGAGGCAGGGAAAAATAGTTGGATCTCTGAGTTCAAGGCCAGCCTGGTCTACATAGTGAGTTCCAGGCCAGCCAAGGAGATAGTGAAAGAAAGAAAGAGAAGGAAGAAAAAAAAATCACAAAAAACACAAGGACAAACCTGGGGGCACTAATCAAAGTGACATCAGTGGTGGTGTGGTGGCCACAGGGTGGAAATAGGGAGGTTGCCGTTGAGAAGGTCATGGCAGTCTCTGCACCATGGGTTTGGTATCCCCTGGGAATGTGGTGTTTGTAACCCTAGTGACAGTGTCAGCCCAGCTGTGGTAACAGCATAGTGACAGACTGCTCTTGTTGCAGATGTGAAATTCCTGAACAACCACAGCTTGGTGAAGGATGCCCAGGAGAAAGCCAACGCCGCCCTGCTGGATTACACCTCGTGTCACTACCCGCACTGCGGGGACAAATTCCAGCAGTTACTACTGTGCCTGGTGGAGGTGAGGGCACTGAGCATGCAGGCCAAGGAGTACCTGTACCACAAGCATTTGGGCAACGAGATGCCCCGCAACAACCTTCTCATTGAGATGCTGCAGGCCAAGCAGACTTGAGCCTGGGCACCTGGCAGCAGGCAGTAGGTAGGGATACCACTGCCTCCAAATGACTCATTGCATTAGATGATCCGGGAGCCCTGCCCCTAGGCCCCTGCCCTTGAGCTCCAGAGCTGTGTGTTTGGGATGGCGGGCAAAGATGGGCAGGGTCTGCCTGGGGCAGGTTGCCCTCACCAGCCACTGGCACGTATCTGCCACTTAGAGTGCCCCAAAGAGATGGCTTCTAACCACTCCTTCTTCCACCCGCCCCCAGCTTCTTTCCTGGAATCTGAGGTCCAGGTCCAGGGAGGAGGTTTGGGATTCCCTGGTGGACCTTGACATCTCTTGGGTCAGAGGTCATTCTTTCCCTCTCTCCTGTAATGGGAGGCAGGGCAGGGGAGGGGTCTCCAGACTTCCTCCGAAGAAGAGAAGGAAGTCCACAGCTGTACACTGAGTCTGCTAAATTGGGTAGGGCCTGTTTTCCCTAGAGGGCGAAGAAAAGACCCCTCTCCAGCCCTCCACCTGTCTAACTCTGATCCATTCTCTGAAAAAAGGCTTTGCTGTAACCATCTTCCCAGCTGTGACCTAGGGGGGCGGAGTTTGGTGGAGTCAACAGTCTTGCCTTGGCCCCGCCCGGTCACTACCGGCTGGGCTGGTGCTTACCTGCGGGGCTGCAGTCACCAAGATTCTTTGGTACTTGCTTTTCCTTTCCCGCTGGACAGTCCTTGGAAGGTGTGTGAGAGAGAAACAGCCCGAGACAGACTGAGGGCACCAAAGTTTTCCTGGTATCTCTTTCCAAGAGTCAAGGTGGCACCCGCTCATCTTTGTGTACCCTGCTCACTCCAGAGAGAGCTGTAGCTTGCCCTCCACCTTCTCTACTAGGACAACAGCAGGAGACCGGCAGTGGCTTAGAGTCCCGGCAGGGGGTGTGGGGGTTATGGGGACCTAGGAGGACTCAGGAGTCTTTAGATGGGGACAGTGCCGAGGAGTCTCTCATGACTCTATCCTTTTGGATCCCTTGCCATAACTCTTGAAGCTGGCCTCTCTACATCCTGAAAGTCATTCTGCGGGGCCAGGCGCTGAGGGGAGAGGCCTAAGCTGTCCTCTGTTCCAGACTGGGGTTCCCTTGCCCTTCCTGCTTTCATGTCAGACTTACAGCTTATGCTAGCCTGCCCAGCTGGACAAGGCTGTCTCCTGCCTTCCACCATCCTGACTCAGACACCACCTCTGCCCCTGAAATGTGTGTCCCTGCCGAGGCCAAGACCCACTACCCTGAAACAAGAAGTGCCCTTACAAGCCCAGCACCCCTGCAGCCCTGAAATAAATTTTGCAATTAGTTTCCAGTAGCGTTTGTGAATTTGCATTCTGAAGCAAGATGTTGTCCCTGGGGTCAGTTCTGGGTGGTGATCTGTCTGCCATCAAAGTGGTGTTCAGCTCAAACTTCTGGGGAGGGGAGCCATTGAAATGACCCAGAGGGTAAACATGCTTAGCAGGCCAACTGGCCTGAGTCCTGGAATCCCCATGGAAAAAGAGGGAACTGACTCCCATAAGTTGTCCTCTGGCCTGTATGTTATGTTACGTATGTCAACACTGCGTGCATGTACACATAGACACACATAGACACACACACACACACACACACACACGAACAAAGACTTGCCCAAGATGAAGCCAGTCAATGGTCCAACATGGATGGGGATGAATTCATGAACTCTCCACTCCTGGCTCAGGAGTTATTGGCTGTCAATGGTTTCTTGGAGGAGAGTCAGATTCTTTAGGGATGTGACCTCTGGGAGGCTACCCATACTCCAGTGCTCTTTTGAGAGCCCTGCATCCATGTGCATACAGGCCTTACTAAATGGACTCACTGGGTTATAAAAATTAAGGAAGACAAAGCTGGGAGGGGGATGTGGAGGGAGTCCTAGGAGTTGGGCAGTGGAAGGTGGATATGATCTAAATATGTTGAAAATATATATATAATACATACTATATGCATTGAAAATATCTTTTAAAGATGAGGAGGAAGATAGGTTGGAGAGCCCAGGGTGTAGAGAGAGCAGGCACTGCTAGGCTTTAGATCCAACCTCCTAGGGTACCTAGGACCCCAGCATGCACAAGGCTTGGGAAACGCTGTGACTTTCTGGAGTCTCAGCTCCACCCTGCCACGCCAGTTCTAACCCCGTATTGAAAGGGCACTCACTCCATGAACGCCTCGCATATGCCCTCCCTCAGCTCCCTGTCCTTGCAGTAACTGCAGCAGGGGTGGAGAGCTTTTCTCCAACAGTGTGGGGAACCAGATTCCAACCTTCTCTGCCCTGTCCCCCACCCCACTTGCTGATGAGTCCTCTCCCTCCCATCCCACTAGGTGGCAGCAGTGAGCCAGGTCAACACCTGCCTCTCTTGCTCCAGCACCTCAGTTCCTGTTGGATCTGCTCTTCAAAGCCAATTCACACAGTTTAGGAAGGACCCAGCCTCTGGGCAGACTTCCACTTTCCCTCCCTTTTTAACCAAACTAATCTAGAGCCACACTTGGTCCACCCAGGGTCTCTGAAACAACCATGAAAAGAGTGAGGCGGCAGCAAAGATGTTGCTCTCCTGCTTTGTGCCTGTACCAGGGCCATGCCCAGGCTTAAAGAAGACTGTCTTAACCAGATGATATGATGCGATCCCTTGTGTAATTGAGCAGAGATAAGAAAGCCATTGGTTTGATTCACACGAGAAGGCTTCGTGGCTGAGGGGTCATTCAAATTGGGTTTTGAAGGATGCCTAGGGATTCAGCGGCTTGACAAAAACAAGGGCAGTCCAGGCAGAAAGAGCAGCGTGGCTATAAGCGGAAGAGGGAGATGTCAGCTGGCTGTGCTTGCCAGGAGCAGAGAGGGCGCAGGGAGAAAGAGAGGTGCAGGATGAAGGCACTGGAAAGAGCCCCTTAGTCCTGTCTGCTGCTCCCCAAACCTTTACGACTGGGGGATGGGCCTTCTGCGAGGGGAGGGGTGCACATGGTTATGTGTCACCTTGGACCCAGTCCCTTCTACCTCCTTGCATGCTCCTTCCCCTTCCCTGAGCCACAGGCAGTGGGTTCTGCCAGGACTGAGAATGCATTCTCCTGATACTTAGCGGGGCCCCTGCTGCAGGAGAAGTGGCCACTAGCCCAGCCTTTCATCCTCCTGGGCTTCTGCCTCTCTTCCCAAGTGAATGGCAGGGGCTCTGCTGTGTTCTCGGTGTGAATCTCTGGCCTCCCACCCAGAGCCTTCAATGCCTTGAAACAGCTTTCTCTGTGTCGATAGCCCTGCATGTCTCTGGCCACAGCTGACATTCTGGGCATGACAGGGACATGGACATGCAGGGTGGATGTCATGCCCAAAACTAGCACAGGACGGCATCACAGGTCTTCTGAGAGAGCCTGCTCTTCCCCATTCTGCAAATGAAAGACAGCATTTACAATCCTTCACATCCTAGGCCCCCAGAAAGCAATGCCTGGACACCTGGCCTTTTGTAGGTGAGCCAATGATCCCCAGAAGATGTGTCCCAGGAGCATCCCACACAGGGGTCAGGGAGGAAGCCACCAAGGCCCCTGGCATGGTCTGTGCCTCCCTGAGACTCGAGAGTTTCTCACTCACCCTGCCCTCTCACTTGCTCCATGCGCACTTCTGCAGGGAGGCAGGCTGGATGGTGTTGGCAACCTTTGAGCACAAAGTCCCAGTCTGGGCCCTTTGTTTTTTGGCTCCTGTCTTGGGCCTTCCCAACATCAGGCCTGATGTTAAGCTCAACACATCTCTGCTTCCCCTGGCCCTGAAGCCGGTCCTGTTCTCTGAGATGAAGACCTGGCTGGTGACTTCACGGTGGTGGGCACCCTGGACTGCTCCTTATCGACTTCCAGTGAGACAGTCATTCACCCACCCCCAAGAGAGCCCCAGCTACCTCCAGGAAACACTGCCTAGGTGTTTGGGGGCCCACACCCCCTGCCCATGCCAGCAGGGAGGCCTGAGACCTGTGTCGCAGACAGGATGAAGGTGGTCTCTAGGCAGAGTGAGCAAATTCAGCGCCAGGTCAGGAACATGGCAGATGCTGAGCTGGTCAACCGCTGGGCAGAGAAGGTGACTCATGCTAAACAACTTGGGCTCTATGCTCAGAGCCTGAATGGTGGAAGGGGAGAAGTGACTTGTTTGTGTTAGCTGTCTCCTGACCTACACACACACACACACACACACACACACACACACACACGGGCATAGGCATATACTAAATAAATGTTTTTTAAAGTGCTAACTAGAACTACCAATCCTGGTGAAAAGCAAAAGTAGCAGCTTCTGTCTCTCCTTCTTCCCAGACAGCCCTGTACCTCTACCCATCCCACTTCAGGAGGAACCCTGGACAGCACAGGCAGAAAACGCCAACACCTAGTTTATTACCAGACGTTGCAGAGGGCATCGGGGAAGTGGAAGGAACCAAGACAGAAGTACCAGACAGGCTGGACTGGAGCTGCTTCTCTCACTTGGAGCTGCCAGTTGTAGGCTTCATTCAGTCTGGGGTTCCAAGGATAAACTGAGGTCCCCTGGCTATTGAGCTCACCAAAGGCTGGGATGAAAACCTTACACATGCCCGTTAAACCCCTGTAAGGAAAGTGACCCTTTCTCTGGGCAGGACTGGCAGGGATGGCCAAGATTAGACAGAGTTTGAGAACAGAGGCATGGGGGAGACCCTGCCACCCAGGCCTGCCTCTCATGGTCTCCCTGAGACTCAGTTTTAACCCCGTTAGAACACCTGTGTGTCCCCAGCGTCACACAGCCAGCAACTCCCTTCCTACCCCCCCCCCCCACCTCCGCTAGTCGCACCTTTCCAGGCTGCCTGAGTGCCTGGTTGGGAGGATCTGGGGGCGAGAAGTGGGGATCATCAGACTAGGGTTGGGGTCCAGAGGGTGGGGCCGAGGTGGAAAGGACTCCGTTGCTACGAGAAGCCTTAGCAACGCACCCATTCAGCAGAGACAAAGGCGCTGTCATTTGAGCACAGAGGCACTGCAGTGG